CAGGCTTGACAAAAAGCCGCTATAACTGACAATCACAATTACTTTATCACATTTAATACTCACGTCATCCCAGTGGTCAAACTCGTATCGCTTCTTCCTGAGCCCAGGTTCCAGCTCCTGCAACAGGGCGCGCTCCTCTGCTTCAGTGAGGAAGTTCTCACTGACCTCGACTTGCCCGCGTACTTTCTCTAGCACGTCGGGGCTTGAGCCCGAGACAAGGCGCCTATCATCAACACTACTGTCCCGGCCTCCTTCCCAAGCGAGCCCCGAGGCTTCCAAGGGCCTAGGGACAGAGCAGTGGTGAGGCGAAGGACGAGGAAGCGATATTAAATTTACACGCTTCAAAACTGTTAACAGAAGACTCATGCCGTCATTTGCCACAAAACACAATTCCAGCAAAAAGTCTACTTCTTCTAATAAAATTTATATCTGAACTCCACTGTTAAAACCCCCCTTCCTTCTTCACCTGCCGAAAGATTCAGGACGCGGCCATCTTGGCATCCCGTAGCGCACCTTGGGTTTTGTAGTCCACCGACATACAAGTCACTTTTATTTTATGTCGCCCTCTATTGGTCAGAGGACGGTCAGATTTAAACTAGCTATTTTACACAAAAGGTAACCATAACTCATCTGTTCGTTACTGGGTATGAAGGCATTTTTGCAGTGTTTTTATCTTTGCTTGTTATTAAAACAATAATCATTATTGTTTTCATTGACCTCACCGATCACTGTCACTTTGTCTCTCCTGGTGGTCTAAGGTCTGAAATAGGACTTAAGTCGGGTCTTCCTAACGGGTACATACTATCAGTACTGCAGACTCAAAGCAGAGTGAGCGCCCCCTGCAGGACTGACACAGCTCTCACTGACAGCACTGCAGGCTCACAGCAGAGTGAGCGGCCCCTGCAGGAAGGACACAGCTCTCACTGACAGCACTGCAGGCCCACAGCAGAGTGAGCGCCCCCTGCAGGACTGACACAGCTCTCACTGACAGCACTGCAGGCCCACAGCAGAGTGAGCGCCCCCTGCAGGAGGGGCACAGCTCTCACTGACAGCACTGCAGGCCCACAGCAGAGTGAGCGCCCCCTGCAGGAGGGACACAGCTCTCACTGACAGCACTGCAGGCTCACAGCAGAGTGAGCGCCCCCTGCAGGAGGGACACAGCTCTCACCAACAGCACTGCTGGCAGCTCTGAATGGTATACACAAATCAACAAAACACAACAAAATTTTGAATGCACTGAAATTTTATATCACAGTATCAAAATAATTAAAAAAAATAATTAAAAAAAAAGAAGAATTTGAAAAAATACAGTTATTTTCTTTCATTCTTGTCACTGGGCCTTGGGGTAAAGTACACCTTTGCTGGAAATCCAAGATACAGATGGGTCCCTAGCCTGACTCCTCCTCCTTCTCCTCTGACTCCACCCCCCAGATTTGAACACGCCCCTCCATGGCGGTGAGAAGGTGGGGCTCCGTGGGATGGAAGCACAGTGATTGGACGACTCCTTTTCCAACAGGCAGCTTCAACGCCAGAGAGCCCTGCAAGAGAGTGGAGTGTGAGAAAGTCCTCATTCTACTGTAACAGGAAAGAACTGTATCCCTCCTTCTGCCAAACCCTCCTGACCTCCACCAAGTCCCAGAAGTACACATGTCCGTCCTCAGAGCAGCTGAGCACGTGGGTGTCTCTCTCTGACAGGCAGCAGTCCAGCTTGTAGCTGCTGTTCCTGTGTCCGGTGTACCTGCACAGAGAGATACTGCTGAAAGTGAGGGAGGCTCTATGACATCAGCACCGGTACCAATCCGGTGTGGGAGGCTCTGTGACATCAGCACCAGTACCAATCCGGTATCCGGTAGTGGATAGTGTAATAAACACTGTTTACAGTGAAAGGAGTATATTCAGAGTGAATACAGTGAACAGTGTGTATTCAGTGCGAATACAGTGTATATTCAGAGTGAATACAGTTGTCTACAGTGAACAGTGTGTATTCAATGTGAATACAGTGTATATTCAGTGTGAATACAGTTGTCTACAGTGAACAGTGTGTATTCGGTGTGAATACAGTGTTTATTCAGAGTGAATACAGTTGTCTACAGTAAACAGTGTGTATTCAGTGTGAATACAGTGTATATTCAGAGTGAATACAGTTATCTACAGTGGACAGTGTGTATTCAGTGGGAATACAGTTGTCTACAGTGAACAGTGTGAGTTCAGTGTGAATACAGTGTATATTCAGTGTGAATACAGTTATCTACAGTGGACAGTGTGTATTCGGTGTAAATACAGTTGTCTACAGTGAACAGTGTGTATTCAATGTGAATACAGTGTATATTCAGAGTGAATACAGTGTATATTCAGAGTATATACAGATGTCTACAGTAAACAGTGTGTATTCAGTGTGAATACAGTGTATACTCAGAGTGAATACAGATGTCTACAGTAAACAGTGTGTATTCAGTGTGAATAC